AAAAGAGGGGAGATTAAGACTTCTTAACTCAAATTAGAATCTCTGTGTTAATGCTGTAGATTGGCTGACTGTCCAGTACCCTGCTTCCTGCCCACTGACTGCAGAGTTGGGCACCAGCTTATCAACAACCCTAAACAAGATGTACAGCAAAAAGAAAATGAGTGTTGAATGTAAAAACAAGAAGTAAATTGTGTACCAATATTCTCTGTGATTTGTCTCCTTCGTTCTGTTAATAAAACAAGACAATTCTTTGATTTTCCTGTTTTTCTTATTGTGAATGAAGAATGTCCAACACAAAATCTAGGCTTCTGTCGCTATGTGGATGCTAGCTTAAAGATGATGGAGAGCAGAACAATGCCAGCACACCCACTCACCCCACCAGTACACATTATTTAGCTTGGCATGTTATGAGTCTCCTCTAAATCCTTTTAAAGCATGCTCAGGAAGAATAGCCTTATGTGATAATGTGCTGAAAGGCTATCACACTGCAGCAGATGCCCAGCTTCAGTGAGGGACTGTGTCCCTTGACAAGACTTCCGCAAGCTGCGTTTTTTGACATGAACGCTCTGGGGACAGCCGTGGAATCATGGCTGTATAGTGGCTGCTTTGCCGGCCTCCCCATGGCAAAGCTCTAAGCACATCCAGAGCCCTTTCATCTGTAAACCTGAGACAATAGCTGCGAAGCTTCACAGAGCACCCAGGAAAGGGCAAATGCATGTGACCATAAACATGCACAGAGAGAAAAACAATCAAAGACCTGCTGGAGCAGATGATTGCCTTTGATAGTGTGTGTGATCTCTGCAAATGAACAGTATGTCTGTGCATTATCCAGGCAAGATAACAAGTGACTGTTTCAATGGCAATCAGCTAAATACACTGACGTATTCTGTTTTCAGGATTGTTTCTTTCTCATTTTTTCTAATACAATTTGTGCAATTTACGTTAAAATGTGTAAACCTTTCTTGCCATAAAGATTATTTTGTTTTCAATAAAAACTGATTTTGTGCACTAATAATGACATTCTAGAATTAAAATGAAAAGTATTTGATATATTGATAATTATTAATAAAATGTCATAATGATCACAATGCTAATTCAGCTTGTGACAATGCAGCATTAGTTTTTTTTTTTTTTTTAAATCAGACAAACTACTTTTTTATTGGCTACATGGCAGTGGCAGTTCTGTTAGATAAGACTTTATTCCTGCAGTGTGCTCCTCTTCATCGTTAATTAAAATTAGGCCTAATTGTGAATACTAAATTAAATAGATTTCAGGCTGCTGCCTCCTGCATCAAGGGCAAAAAAGACAGAAATGAAGGCCTAGCATTCCTTGAAGGAATGCATATTTCATGCTGTGTTTCATGCATGAGTTTTGAACTAGAAACATCTTGTGATGCGGAGAGTTACAGCTGATTTGATCAAACCTTGTAAGTGATTTATTGCACAATCATGCAATACCATGAGATCGTTTGAGTTATCTTAGTATTTAGATTTTTTAATTATTTTATCTGCTAGCACACCAAACAACATCAATATCTGTTTAATTGACTGAATTACAGACACTTGATAAGTTGTAGATGCCATCTTGAATTAGGTTGACTCCAAATGTTCAAAAAGTTTTAGCGCTATATATATATATATATATATATATATATATATATATATATATATATATATATATATATATACATATATATATATTGTCCTGTGATTCAAAAAACCTAAAAAAAAGTTGCTTTTAACAAGAAACACCACGTTTTTTGGCAAAGATATCATGCAAAATATATAATTTGGAGTATCCATTGAGAATGGCTTCCAGCTACTATCACAACAAATTTCAATATCTGTAAAGTTGACTAAGTTTTAGTCATTATTGTGTTGGCTACTACTGATTAGCTGTGGTGACTCTTAAGGTTAATCAGTTGTAGGTATGCATACAATGAATACTTTTTGAGTTTCATTAAAAGTGGTCCAGTCCATCATGATGTATTGTGCTGAAGACAGCTGACTTCAAATGTTTTTGAGTAAGTAAAAAAAATCTTGTGTGATCTGGTAGAGCTGTGAGTATGCATTGATAAGACTCCCAGCTACTACCACCTCAAATTTTTGCTGAATATCTTTAAAACTGTCATACTTACATCCTTTTCTTAGTTGTGGCAGCCAACTTGAATGATGTTTACTCCAAGTTTTTTGTGTGTTTTACATTCGATTATTAACTTATGAGATTTTGTTCAGGGTACTTGAGATATTTTGCTAATGCTAGAGAAAAAAAACAAATGCACACAAACAGACATGGACCAAAGTCATATCACAGCTTTACCATTGTTGGTGGACAATAAAAATGTGATCAATACATATATTCAGTGCTTTGCGAAAGTGTTCGGCCCCCTTGAACTTTTCAACCTTTTGCCACATTTCAGGCTTCAAACATAAAGATATAAAATTTTAATTTTTTGTGAAGAATCAACAACAAGTGGGACACAATCGTGAAGTGGAATGAAATTTATTGGATGTGTCAAACTTTTTTAACAAATAAAAAACTGAAAAGTGGGGCGTGCAATATTATTCGGCCCCTTTACTTTCAGTGCAGCAAACTCACTCCAGACGTTCAGTGAGGATCTATGAATGATCCAATGTTGTCCCAAATGACTGATGATGATAAATAGAATCCACCTGTGTGTAATCAAGTCTCTGTATAAATGCACCTGCTCTCTGATAGTCTCAGGGTTCTGTTCAAAGTGCAGAGAGCATCATGAAGACCAAGAAACACACCAGGCTGGTCCAAGATATTGTTGTGGAGAAGTTTAAAGTAGGATTTGGATACAGAAATATTTCCCAAGCTTTAAACATCCCAAGGAGCACTGTGCAAGCAATCATATTGAAATGGAAGGAGTATGAGACCACTGCAAATCTACCAAGACCCGGCCGTCCCTCTAAACTTTCATCTGGAACAAGGAGAAGACTGATCAGAGATGCAGCCAAGAGGCCCATGATCACTCTGGATGAACTGCAGAGATCTACAGCTGAGGTGGGAGAGTCTGTCCATAGGACAACAATCAGTCGTACACTGCACAAATCTGGCCTTTATGGAAGAGTGGCAAGAAGAAAGCCATTTCTTAAAGATATCCATAAAAAAGTGTTGTTTAAAGTTTGTCACAAGCACCTGGGAAACACACCAAACATGTGGAAGAAGGTGCTCTGGTCACATGAAACCAAAATCCAACTGTTTGGCCACAATGCAAAACGATATGTTTGGTGTAAAAGCAACACAGCTCATCACCCTGAACACACCATCCCCACTGTCAAACATGGTGGTGGCAGCATCATGGTTTGGGCCTGCTTTTTATCAGCAGGGACAGGGAAGATGGTCAGAATTGATGGTAAGATGGATGGGGCCAAATACAGGACCATTCTGGAAGAAAACCTGTTTGAGTCTGCAAGAGACCTGAGACTGGGATGGAGATTTATCTCCCAACAAGACAACGATCCAAAACATAAAGACACATCTACAATGGAATGGTTCACAAATAAACGTATCCAGGTGTTGGAACGGACAAGTCAAAGTCCAGACCTGAATCCAATCGAGAATCTGTGGAAAGAGCTGAAGACTGCTGTTCACAAACGCTCTCCATCCAACCTCACTGAGCTCCAGCTGTTTTGCAGGAAGAATGGGCAGAATTTCAGTCTCTCCATGTTCAAAACTGATAGAGACAAACCCCAAGAGACTTGCAGCTGGAACTGCAGCAAAAGGCGGAGCTACAAAGTATTAACGCAGGGGGGGCGAATAATATTGCACGCTCCACTTTTCAGTTTTTTATTTGTTAAAAAAGTTTGACACATCCAATAAATTTCATTCCACTTCACGATTGTGTCCCACTTGTTGTTGATTCTTCACAAAAAATAAAATTTTATATCTTTATGTTTGAAGCCTGAAATGTGGCAAAAGGTTGAAAAGTTCAAGGGGGCCGAACACTTTCTCAAGGCACTGTATATATATATACATATAGGCAGTACGGTGGCGCAGTTGGTAGAGCTGCTGCCTCTCAGCAAGCAGGTCGCCCCAGTTCAAATCCTGGCAGGGACCCCACCCATGGACCAAAAACTTGCATGTTAGACAGATTGGTAACTCTAAATTGTCTCTATGTGTGAGTGAGAGACTGAATGGTTGTTTGTCTTGTTTGTCTCTATGTGTCCCAGTGATGGACTGGAGACCTGTCCAGGGTGTCCCCCACCTCTCACACAGTGCCTGCTGGATATCAGCACCAGTGACCCCCACGCTCCGAAAAGTAAGAAGTATGTAAAGCTGATGGATATATTCATTCATACACACACTTCAGACACAGGTCTTTGCAGGATCTCCAAAAACCTGCGGTGATAATACCGACGCAACAAGTTCAGACTAACATCTGAAAATATATTTTTGGACCATGGTGCATCTGGACAAGTATCCTCAGATAAATGAGCTAAATGTGGTGTAACATACTGCAAACAACTGTATGCATGGCAAATTTAAAATAAAATTAAAAAAAAGAAGAAGAAAGTTCCAAATATGAATTATGCAGATCAGATGTTTGCACAATCAAAGAACTGAATCAGGGTGAACACGCATGGGCTGAGTGACAGCAGCTCATTTGCTTCTTTGGATGAGGGCGATGAGAGGGTTTGTGCGCGACTCTCTAGCTCTGCGTGTGCATGTGTGCGTGTGTGTGTGTGTGTGTGTGTGTGATAGAGAGAAAGAAAGGCAGGTGGAAAGGGGGAGGGGTCGGGGGTGGTCCAGACAGTCGGTCCTTGTGTAGCCTGTACCTCACACGCTCAGCACAGCCTCTGCGCATCGTGCGTGGTGAAGAAGGAAGCAGAGTCCGGCTCAGCCTCACCGCCTGTCTGTCTGCCTGATAATAACGCACGCGCTCCAACGCTGGTCCATCAGTCTCTGTCTCTCTCTATCTCCTTTTTTTTTATTTTCCTCCGTGCGTCTGAGGCCATCAGCTGAAGTTGAACGCGTCGCTCCGGCGTCAGATGGAGCCCAGGAAGCTGCCAGGCGCGTTTCTTCTCTCCTAACACGGGAAGCGGCGCGCAGGAGGGGGGCGAACCGTTCGAGGACCTACATCCAAAGCAGCCGTGGTCCATGAACGCACCGCACCGTGCATCATGACAAAACAAGCAGCAACAAGGTACAACAGAAACAAGATCGGTGTCACCTTTGTGCAGTTTTATGAATCCGTTTATCTTCCATGCAGGCGTCAGTGTATTTGGTGCTGCGTTAATCTGTTACTGTCTTATTGCTGCATAAGGATGCATGGGGGGGGGGGGG